ATGATAACCATCAAAATGCTCCAATAATTCAAAGCTATATAATCTTAGAGTCTTTATGAAAACATCAGCCTAAATAGTTTATGATGTTGAATACATAGATTTAGAATATCCAAGTATTCTTACTTTAGAATACAACAGAAAACTTTATTTTAAACTGAAATTTAACTTCATAGTGTTTGAAAATTAGATTAGCTAAGATAACCAAATAAGGCAAAACTATTTTCTTTATATCCCTTTTTGGCTTTCCTTAATTTCACTCACTTTACATAAAAGTAATATCTCATATACAGGGATATCTCACTCTCTCAAGTTAGCCTGAAATACATATGAACAACTCAATGCAATGTCATGGGTAATTTAAGCTTTACGAAGCAGCACATAACTTTTTAGACTGGAATTTCCCCCTTCCACAAAAAGCAGGAGTTGATAAATCTAGTTGGGAAAAATGGAGTTGATAAATCCAGTTCCTGCTCTCCAAATGCTCACTATCTAAAAAGACAACACTGATTTGAAAGCCGAGTCAAATAACTTGCCCTGAACTTAACCAAGTGAATAAAGAAGTTATGGATACAAAACATATATAACAGGATTAAGATACATTTAGATTTAGAGATAAAAAAACAACAATTTAAAATATGCCTGTTTGGCCAAGTAAGAACCAAAAGAGAGAATAACACTTGTCTCCCACCTACCCCGCTAGCTAAAAAAGTTCAGTAAATAAAGTTACATTTCAAAGGCCTACTAAGGCTTGAAGGTACTTTGTATAGCCAAGGGTGATGGAAAATAGGAAAAGTTGGCAGAAAGCTTGAGGGCAGAGAGAGGTAATAGAAAAAGAAGGTATAGAAGAAGTTATATGATGGAATTATTGTTAAGTAGCAAAATGATTCAACAGCTGGCAAAATAAAGAATACAAATAAATGTATCTCTTATACTTAAATAAGCAAGTATATTCATTGCCAAAGAGCTAGGTTTGAGAAGCTTAAAGTAGGAAGGTAAAAGTTGAAAGTAGAGTAAAAGGCAGAAAGTAGAAAAGTAACAGTGAATCAGATTATAGAAAAAATAATAAGTATGTATTTGAGGTGCAGTAAACTAATACTTTATCAAGGAAAAAAAATCAGAGCTCATCCTCTCACAGGGGCGTTTTGAGAGTGTCCATGCCTGACCCTGGAATATCAGAGACCAGACTAGATCAATAAAGCTAATCGGTGTTCTCATGTACTCATTTATACATTAGCAGTCATTTAAAATATATTAAAAACTTGTTTATCAATACTGTAAACTGTGGCCTACTACTGAACAGTTGATTATCAAATATGATCTGATACCAAACAACGTATTACCAAGTATAATCTGGGGAAAAGGGAATGTGAGAAGTTGACGCCAGTGTGGACAACCAGTACGTATCTCATATACAGGAGAAATGCTTATCAACTTTTTCCCAATTGTGCTACCAATTCTTCAAGTTACTAATTCAGAGGAAAAGGGTACTATGATTAAATATGGCCGAGGTACACTATATATCACCTCCCTTAGGACATGATAATACCGCTCCAGTTAAAAAACAAACCAACAACACTAACTTTTTGGGACTTTTTAAAAATCCTCATTTGAGGATATGTTGTTGTTGTTTTAACTGAAATTAGAGAGGAAAAGGGTGGGTGGAGGAGAGGGAAGAGGAAGGGCGGGGAGAGAGACTGACAGACATCAATGTTAGAGAGAAACATCGATCGGTAGCCTCTCATACATGCCCCGAGTGGGGATCGAACCGGCAACCTGGGTGTGTGCCCTGACCAGGAATCAGACCCAAGACCTTTTGGTGTATGGGAAGAGGCTTCAACCAACAGAGCCACACCGTCCAAGGCAACACTAATTTTTTTAAACTAAGAGTTTTTTTTAAAACTGATTTGACC